GGATGTTCGGCCGTTGATCGACTGAAAAAGCTTGTACAGTGATAAGCGTGGATGACTTGCAGCTCACAGACACGGAGTACCTATCATGTAAGATTATTGTTTATCACTGATTATGAGTGAATGAACGTAGGTTCGGAGATTATTTCACCTTGACCTGTAACAACATTAGCAGACATAGGTGTACACGGAAAACAAATGGCATGAACATCAAATGTGTGGGTCGCAGTAACATTATTCATATAATAACGGTAGTGATTACATGCGGGGCTTATTGTATGTGAAAGTAACCTAGGAATGAACGTGAATTACCAGGCATTCTGAAATGGGTTGCTGAATCTGCAGTAGAGCTATCGCTTTCTAACTCCCGGATTAAACTTGCTTCAAATTATAACATCAAGGATTGTTGTAAGCAAATTTCTTCCATAATACCACTGCCGGACAGTGGGGGTTAGATTGAATACACACATACACACACACGAAAACAATCATGGTCACAGGATGCCGGCGATATTCCGGGTTTTCAGAGGGCTTGTTTAACTTCCTAAATTTGTGATGAGATTTTAAATGAAATTCCGGTAAAAATTCTATATTTTAAGTAAATACACAGCAAGAAGGACCATTTCCAATGCGATTTTTTCTGAGGCATAACATTCTCTGGTCATGTCTTCCTTCGGAAGGGAAGTAAAGCCGTTGGTCCCGGCCCATGTGTGTTGAGTAAGTGGAATATCCTTCGCAGGTGTGGAAGCTGCCTTACTGCACATTCGATTGCCGCCGGTGATTGGCACTAGATTGCGGAACAGAGACCGCCGTTTAATAAAGGAATGACGAATTAATGGAGAAGGTTGAGTTCTTCCAAATTGTCATTTGGCTGGGTACAGAAGGGTCCACCAGGGCACTAGACTGAAGCAAAATGGATGGGGAGAGTGGAAATGCCAACTCGCTGTCTTTAATATTTCGTGAATAGAGGGTGAGCTCTTTTCCCCACTCATTGGGACATTGTCCAGTTGGATGGCCTGTTCTCACTTATCCCGTCGATGCACGTGGGCGATGTTGCCCACGGATTCACCGAAACGATTTTTGGCCCTCCATACCAATTCCCGATGGAGTACCCGATTTTTTCTCGCTTTTTCCAAGCGTCCGTCCTGAAGAATCCCCTACCGTAATATATACAGGGGTTACTCAAAAACCAAACTAGCATAGGCAAGTTTTTGGTCAACTTTGGAGTGTTGTTACTTCGTCAAATATGATCCGATTGTAAATCTTCCATAAGCATTTGACTGGAAAACTAATATTTTTTCACGATGTAGCCACGAAAATAATTCTGGTCATCGGATACCGGAGATATTCCGGGTTTCCGGAGGGCTTGTCTAACGTGCTAAATTTTTGGTGAAATTTATATATGATGCTGGTTAAATATATATATATTTTTAGTAAATACGACGAAAGAAGAACCATTTATAAAACGAATCATATGCCAAGAACTAGAATCGGCCTATAATCAACCGAGATATGGCCATTTCCCTGGAATCGGTTCTGGTGAAGGGTTCTGAATGCGGGCAGATCATTTAATCACTCAAACATGCCGTGTGACAGCTCTTTTTTCATGGTTTCTCGTCAATAGACTTTCGATAAACTTTAAATGCATCATTGATCACATTGGCCGCTCTCGGGATCTCCGGTATGCCCCCGGGGGAACCTGGAGCAGAGGACAATTGCATTTTTACACCAAAACATGCCGTGCGACAGCTCATTCTTCATGGTTTTCCATGAATAGGCATTCATTAAACTTCAAATGGATCAGTGACCACATTGGCCGCTCTTGGAATCACGGGATACCCCCGAGGGATCCTGCAGCAGGCGTCAATTGCGTTTTTACTCAAAAACATGACGTTCGACAGCTCTTTCTTCATAGATTTTCATGAATATTCTTTCTATAGACTTAAAATGAATCATTTACCACATTGGCCGCTCTCGGCACCACTGGGATGCCCCGAGAGAACCTGTAGCAGGGGACAATTTCGTTTTAACTCAAAAACGTGCCGTGCGACAGCTCTTTTTTCATGGATTTTCATGAATATTCTTTCTATAGACTTAAAGTGAATCATTGACCACATTGGCCGCTCTCGAAACCAGTGGATACCCCCGGGGGAACCTGTATCAGGGGGCAATTGCGTTTTTACTCAAAAACATGCCGTGCGACAGCTCATTCTTCATCGATTTTCATGAATATGCTTTCTATAGAATTGAAGTGGTTCATTGACCACATTGACCTTTCCTGGGATGACCACATTGACTGTAATGCCCTGGGGGGAACCTGTAGTGCGGAACACGACGCCATGGCCAGCACAGTCGTTGGATTTAAATACAATTTTAAATGGCATTCTTAATTTATAAATAATAATTCATTAATAATACATAGCTTTGCAAATAGCAAATAGCTTTGGAACCAAGATTAAAAGCGCAATGGCTTATTCGCACTGTCACTATTGTTTATTTGAAATGCAGGAAATGGCACTAACTGATGGTCACTAGCGAGCACAAAAGTGCTGGCGAACATCTTCAGAGCTGACGTCGACAGTCATTTTGTTCATTCAAGAGTTGTTGTTGTGCTCTTGCTACACCTTACATTAATACAAGAGAGAGACTTTTATTGGTCTACAACCAGAGTTTAAAGACCTAACCTCCCCATCCACTGCTAGTAGTCAATGGTCAATTTCAAGACTTCAGATAGTTGTCGAACGGCATTGTGAAGTAAAAATACAATTTTCCTTTTACATGTTATCCTGGGGCATCTGCTGGTTCCAGAATGAGCTCCCCAATGGCATTGTTTTGTGTAAAAATGTGATTGCATCCTACTACAGGTTCCCCCCAGAGCATTCCAGTGACTCCGGAAAGGACAATGTGGTCAATGATTCACTTCAATTCTATAGAAAGCATATTCATGAAAATTCATGAAGAAAGAGCTGTCGCACGGCATGATTTTGAGTAAAAACGCAATTGACCCCTGCTACAGGTTCCCCCGGGGGTATCCAGTGGTTTCGAGAGCGGCCAATGTGGTCAATGTTTCACTTTAAGTCAATAGAAAGCATATTCATGAAAATCCATGAAGAAAGAGCTGTCGCGCGGCATGTTTTTGAGTTAAAACGAAATTGTCCCTTGCTACAGGTTCTCTCGGGGCATCCCAGTGGTTCCGAGAGCGGCCAATGTGGTAAATGATTCACTTTAAGTCTATAGAAAGAATATTCATGAAAATCTATGAAGAAAGAGCTGTCGCACGGCATGTTTTTGAGTAATATAGCAATTGACACCTACTACAGGTTCCCCCTGGGGGTATCCCGTGATTCCGAGAGCTACCAATGTGGCTACTGATCCATTTGAAGTTTAATGAATGCCTATTCATGGAAAACTATGAAGAATGAGATGTCGCACGGCATGTTTTGGTGTAAACATGCAATTGTCCTCTGCTACAGGTCCCTCCGAGGGCATACCGGAGGTCCTGAGAGCGGCCAATGTGGTAAATGATTCACTTTAAGTCTATAGAACGAATATTCATGAAAATCCATGCAGAAAGAGCTGTCGCACGGCACGTTTTTGAGTTAAAACGAAATTGTCCCCTGCTACAGGTTCTCTTGGGGCATCCCAATGGTTCCAAGAGCGGCCAATGTGGTCAATGATTCATTTGAAGTTTATGGAAAGCCTATTCTTGAAAAACCATGAAGAATGAGCTGTCGCACGGCATGTTTTGGTGTAAAAATGCAATTGTCCCCTGCTCCAGGTTCTCCCGGGGGCATACTGGATGTTCCTAGAGTGGCCAATGTGGTCAATGATGCATTTAAAGTTTATCGAACGTCTATCGACGAGAAACCATGAAGAAAGAGCTGTCGCACGGCATGTTTTGAGTGATTAAATGATCTGCCCGCATTCAGAACCCTTCACCAGAACCGCTTCCAGGGAAATGGCCATATCTCGGTTGATTATGGGCCGATTTTAGTTCTTGGCATATGATTCGCTTTAAAAATGGTTCTTCTTTCGTTGTATTTACTAAAAATATATATATTTAATCAGCATCATATATAAAATTTCACCAAAAATTTAGCAAGTTAGACAAGCCCTCTGGAAACCCGGAATATCTCCGGTATCCGATGACCAGAATTATTTTCGTGACTACACCGTGAAACAATATTAGTTTTCCAGTCAAATGCTTTTGGAAGATTTACAATCGGATCATATTTGACGAAGTTACAACACTCCAAAATTGACCAAACATTTGCCTACCCAATAAACAATTTTAGCTGCAGACTAGCTTATACAGGCAAAAATTAGCTGTATAAGCCAATTTTTGGCTGTATAAGCTAATCTGCAGCTAAAATTGTTAGTTGGGTATCCTAGTTTTTTTGAGTAACCCCTGTATATAAGATGAATGGACCAGTGTCAATGCGCCGAGGTTCCAAGAGTCATCAGGTTCTGTATGCAGTGGCCGTGAATCTAAAATAGCTTCGATGCTAAGCTTTGTATCGCCATGTTTTGTCATCCACTACACTACTCCTCAAACACAAAGCATTTCTTTCTCATTCCACTAATCAAACAAGAACTACAACTAAATCGTAAGAGTCATGCATTGTCATTCGTACTGCGTCATTTTACTCAAATCTAGGTTACTTCCGTGCGATAACGTCAAGCAGTCTACATTGAACAATCTTCCAGAGTACTTAAATTTATGACCAGCACGTGATGTATGTGTGATCGTCTTCTATATTTTTCGATAAACATCTGAACCCGTTTTGCTTCAATTTGCTTAACCTTAAACGATGATGCTGAACATAGAATACTTTTAACGTAACGTTTGAAAAGAGCCTATCAGCTTTTGTTAGCGAAATTTGTAATGCCCGGTTCTCTCACCCAAACCAACTTGGTACTTGATCTGCGTAGGCGAGCTTCGGTTCGTGCAAAAAGCGCCTCGTAAATTTTGTTAACAAAAGCTGATAGGTCCTTTCCAAATGTTACGCGAGACTTAATATCCATCCATTTTTTATGTACCGACAAACAAAGCCACGAGGAACCACAGACACATACATATATCGACAAAGAGCTTGGCTGGAAAAAAGAAGACATTAATCCGTTCCAACTAGACACTGGTCTCTCCCTCGTCATGGCTCAACACGTGCAACCCTTGGTGCTTCTTACTACTGGAAGATTTGTGCTGCTGCTGCTGCCGGTTGTGTTGTTGTCTTTGATATTCGGTCGACGATGCCTTCAGCATGACAGCTAACTTGGAGTCCGATTTCCTCCGAAGCACCCGGGGGCATCCATCTTCGATGATCTTGCCGTGCTCCAGGACTATGACTCGGTCGTAATCAAACAACGAGTGCAATCGATGCTAGAAGCATACGAAGAAGTAGAGCGATATGGAAAAACACACGTCCATTAGGAATTTCCATAGAACGAGAGCAAGTAAATGATTATTAATAAACGAGCACTTCGAGGGATAATAAAGTTCTGCTTCAGCATCTAATTTTAGGTAGTGTCTAAGAGGATTAAACTGAAATTCCTCCTTTACCATGCTGCTTGAATAACTATACTATCATCTTACTACCTACACACGGACGATGAGATCGATTCAAAATTGAGTAGAATTCGACTCAATTTTGCAAAAAAAAACACTAGCTAAGGGATTAAAATTGTCCAAGCTTTTCCAGGAAAAATTTCTCGAATATCAGGAAAATCGACAAAGGTTTCATTCAGTCTATTACAGCTAGACTGAGTAAAATTTTCGTCAATTTTTCTCATGAGCAAATACAATTTTTGCAATATTGAGTCGAATTCACCTTTATTTTGAGGCGACCTCATCGTCCGTTTATCCAGTGATCAATAACAGCTTCAATCGACAGCTACCGGACATTGAAATGGATTCGCCCTTGGTAAACCGAATGAAAACAACAATAAACAAAGTAATTTAATTACCGCTATCGTTAGCACAGTTCTTCCCTTGAATGCTTTGCCGGCGGCATCGAGAACCAGTTTCTCCGTTTCCGTATCGAGAGAGGATGTTGCTTCGTCCAGCACGAGGCAAACTGACCCACGTAATACGGACCGAGCCAAACAAAACAGTTGCCTCTGGCCGGCACTGAAAAGGAATGAATCCTCCCCAATTCTGGTGTCTGCAATTGAATTAATAAATGTCAGTTCTGGTTTCCACCGCACCAAAATCCCATTTCCCATACCCAGTCCATCCGGAAGCGCCACCACAATGTCCTTCAACTGTGCCATCTCCAGACTGTTCCACAGATCCAAGTCGCTAAAGTGTCCCCGTGGGTCCAGATTTTCCCGCAGCGTCCCACCGAACAGCATCGCATCCTGGGGAATGATGGAGAGTCGGCAGCGTAATTCATCGCTGTGAATGGTACCGATGTCCACGTCGTCAATCAATATCCGCCCACCGACGATTTCTAGCACACCGAACAGTGCCAGTGCAAGCGAGGATTTACCACTACCGGTTCGACCGCATATGCCAATCTGAAAAGGAAAAAAAATGAGAAGACGCATGGAAAACGAATGCAAGGAAACACGCCCCGGACGGAAATGAAAAACTGTCTCTTTAGTTTGAAAGCACTTAATCGCCGCACGATCCACCGCCCTCCGGGCTTAGTCACGTTGTCTGCCGTTGATGTTTACTGCATCGGGTCAGCGCTGTGTCCACTAGCCCTCTATGAACTAGCTGTTGCATTCAAGCACTTTTTAATTTCTTCAGCCCTTTTCTTTACTCTCAACCGAGAAGCTAATTTCAGATCATCAATCTACCGGTCTGACTTTACCGAAAGTTTAACAACACGACCAAAACGATGTCCATCAGACTGGGAAGCAATGATGGCAGTTATTATTTTGTTGATTCAATTTGATGAAATTTTTCATTTCTCTGTACAATGTTAACGTTCTGAACCGGTAGCATCATTAATTTCATGGAGACCACCCTTCAGGGTCACCAGTTATTGAAAATAAACATTATTTTTAAAATTTTCTGAAATCTCCAAATTTGCCATGACATAAATGAGCAGTTCCACGCAGACCTGTGCGCCACCGCACCACCGCCGGTGGTTTTTGGCTTACGCCGAGGCCGAACGAGATGTAGGCGGTGCACCAATGACCGATGGTCATCACGCCGCCAAAAATGTTTTTTCTCGATAGCGTTTAACACGCATGAAAAAAAATCCGTATTCTAGTTTACACCAGCACTAGACAACCTAACTCGTTAAACATTAATTATTAAAACATTAATACACCCAAATGTCTATAAATCCGAACAATTACTAAGCTCATACTATCAATTTAAATCTTGGCATTCAGCTAGATTTTTGATGATTTAAATATGAAAATAGAATATTTTGAAAAAAAAAAGTTTTCTCTTATTTTGAATATAAGTATTTAATAACTTTCAAGTGTTTCTTCTCTTTTGCTATTACATCACAGTTGGAACTTTACGCTGGCTCACAACAACTTTTGTTAATTGAGAGCTGTCTTAGTCTGTATAATGTTTGCAATAATATTTTAAATTTCAAACAGTTGAAACTAATATGTTCTGAAACCTTTAGGAAATTTCAAGTAGATCCATAGATTCGAAAAGTTTTAGTTTCTGATGTTATGAAAATTCCTCGAAATCCTGAAGATGTAAAAGTTTCCTGTGTACTGTTATTATCTTAAGTTTCACAGAATTACCCAGAAACGAAGTACGAAACATGAAATGTTCTTAAAAGGCTCAGAACTTTTAATTAGATCTTAGTTACATGTAAGTTATTCAAAGAATACTAAAAACTGGAACACGCAAAAATTGGTCAACAAAAAAATAGCTTCTTTCAGTCAAAATTCATGTCACAAAAATCTTCTTATTTTTCCTTTGGTAGTTCAATACATATATTTAAAGGAAAAAATGTTCGTTTCTTCTTTTGGTTTGCCAAATCCGACGTACGGTGCCTTCCACGGCGGTTAGATTTAAACTGCTACTCGTTCTCTATGGATTTATTAATTTTTTTTTTTTTAAATTCCGTTTGACCAAGCTCGATACCGTTCGATAGGGCGGAGTTCTGGGCTGTTGAGAGGGTTGTTCACATCGTACCACTCGATTACTAATAGTGGCAGCTCGTCAAGTCCAGCCAGAACAGCGTAGGTCTATTATGTTGCTTTAGAAATGTTAGCAGCCACTTTTCCAGGCACTCCTGTATGTAGATCTCTTGATTGATGGTTCCCGTAGTAATGAAAATGCCGTTTTTTAGAAATCCGCCTTCACATAAGTTTCGTCGTCCATGACGACACAGTCGAACTTTGTGAGCAGATTCGTATACAGCTTTCGGGACCGCTGCTTTGCCGATGTGTTTTGTTTATAATCTCGGTTCGCCACCTTCACCTTCTTAAACGTGGACAACCTGGCTCGTTTCTTGACCCGCTGCACAGTAGTATGGGAGACATTGAGCTTGTCAGCGACGTCCCGGATGGAGAGGTTAGGATTCTGCTTATATTTCACCGCCACCTTCTTCGTCGTCGCTGCCACGTCCGGATTACGATTGCTGTCGCTTCCAGGCTTCCTGGCGGTCGACAGACGCTCCTCGAACACTTTTAAAACGTTTGTCACGGTCGATTTGGCCACATCCAGAAATTTTGCCAACTTGGCGTGTGGGAACGTCGGATTCTCTTGCTGAGCGAGCAAAATTTTGACAAGCTCCTCCTCTTGCTTGGACGTTATTTTGAAAACTGGAGAGCAAACGGTGAAAACTCGTCATAGCAAGCATTGTATAAACACTTAACTTCCAAATGCAGCATGGTGCAAATGCAAATGCATTTCAAGTTTTTGTATGCATTTTAAACAGAGATACACCAATTTGAAGTTGACCAATTTTTGCGCATTCCAGACTTTAGGTCGAATTGATACATTGAACTTGAAAATTCTATTGGAAAACAAATAATGAACATTTGAATACTCGGACTATTTATTTCGCAGATTTAATGATAAAATTATTAATATAATAATGAACTGCCCATAAACTACGTTTCTGACTACCAATTTGCTTGATTTTTTTACTTTCAATTTGAAAAATAAATCATCAAAGGACTTGGATAATATTATAGAATTCTGACACTATGAAGTATTGCCTAGAGAATTATGCTGAGAATGCCAAATGAGTTTTGAAGATACTGATGGTAGACTTTGGCGTAATTAGAAAATTTATCAAGAGGGGGCCTAAGGGGGAGGGGGAGGGGGCTGTTGCATTTGTTTTATTTTGATAAACTGTCAAATCATCAAGGCAACTTGTTTTTGGGAACATTTTTTTTTCTTGTGAACAATCATATGACATTGAGACTTACTATTATTTTAATGGTGGAACAATAAATTTTATTTTATTTATCTAATAACAACGATTGGGGGAGCCTTAACAGATTAATGATTTTGAACAAGCGATGATTGTTTGTTCAGTGATCAAATCACATGGCATTCGGATCTCAAAAATTAAATCATCTCAAACTTAAAAAAAATCTCAGAGTTAGCTAATCCCATGTATTGTGTAAGTAGCTTTTTTTAATTTTTAATATTTCATAATCAGTTAACATGTCAGACAAAGGAACCAAAATTAAATTCTAGGAGTTTGAACTTTATAATTTTATAATTTTATAAAGTTCTGGCTTTGAAACATGGTAAAGTGTACACAGAATAAATTCCATACATTTAGGACTTAAGAAATTGTTCAAGATATATGTCCATTCTTAGTTCTTAACATTCTGAATGTTCCATGTGTTTTCAAGATTATGCAACTAAAAATTTGATATCTTTGATACAGATTTGTCAAAATTCTAATACTAAGATAAAATTGCAAGACCCTTTCGCGACAGTCATTTCATAAAAATTCTAGTGCATGAATATTGAAAACAAATTTAATAAGAATTTGAATACTTATAATAAGTTTGCCCAAATCAAAAGTTTCATAAAAACTCCACAAAATAAATATGCCTGAAAAAAATCTTACGAAATTATGTGCAAAATAAATTTAAGGGATTAAAAAAATGACATGATAGTATATCAAATAGGCTTAGGCAAGCTTTAAATCTCCTGGACTTCAAAATTCGTTATTCAAGGTTTAGGGAAATTTGACTACATTCTGAGACTTACAGCATTTTTCGAGAGGAAAATTCTTCGAGATAAGAAATAAAGAAAAAAATCGAAAAACCTTGACATCTGACAGAAATTATGAACGATCAGGTTATAATAAGTAAATGTAAATGTAAGTAATGAAGCATTTATCTAGAACCTTTTTTTATTCGATGCATCGGACCAACTAATATTCGGAACTATTTTTAAAATCAAAATTTCACTTTAATTCTAATCGAAAGGAATGAAATCGAAACTTGAGTGATTGTATCATAATTTGTTATAAGATAATGATGGTATTTGGTTTTACAAAAGCATTGGGATATTTTTAAATTTTAAAATTCGGTACCAATTTATATGTGACACGTACTTTATACAGGGTAAGAGTTTTTTCAGTGTTTTAAATTTATTTAATAAAAAAAATACACAGCCATTCAAACTATCCTGCAGCTGAGTTCTTGACAATATAAATCACCAAGGCACGGGTCTTCCATATAACCATAATATCTAGATTTATTATTCAAAATTCCATAGATTCAATTAGCTGGAAAACTTTTGAATACTTCCTGAACAACCTACAGTTTTGAAAGAACAGTTGGAGAGAACTTTGTCATCCTGAAGTCTTGAAAAAATATCCAGAAAACTTCAATAATATCTTCGTCTATATGGAGATCTTTTGAATGTTACCTGCTGTCATGGAAGGATGTCTGAAAGACTATTCTGTAGCTTTTTTTTCCTTGATTTGTTTTCCGTCGATCTTGTTTTCCGTACTGAGTTCCAATGCTACCGATACCAAGGGAGCAGCTTAAACATCTGGACCCTACATTTCGACCCATCAACTTATGAACCGAAGGAAGGCGTGATCAGAGATGTTATGCCTCAGAACGTCCCGGCGGCACCGACTGGGATTGAACCCAGACCTGCTGGGGTGAGAGTCAATCACGCTTACCACTACACCACTGGCACCGCTTAGCTATTTTTAATTTGTTTGATGCGAAATTAACGCGCAATGGAAATGGGCAAAGAGCCTTAAAATTCATTTGTGAAATCTTTAACTGAATCTCAAGATTCATATACTCGCCACTAAATACAAACAAAAGTGCCTTGAAGTTAATCGCATTTTGCAGCAATTTGACACACATTTTGGAGATTGGCTTGATGTAGACTTTGGCTTCGGAGAATTCATCGAACAGAGCAATGCGTTGCATCAGCCTCGGCCTCAGGAACAAAACGTGCAAGACCTTCAAAACCTTTCTCGGATTTGAGCGAAAGAGGAAAACGTCGCATCATCGACCTGAATCTAGTTAAAGTTATTGGGCATATTTTGAAAAACCAAAATAGTTCTAAAACAATGCTGGCTCAATTAACTGATCAACGGGGAATG